TCTGTTCTGTTGTGTTGGTGGAAGCCAAAGACTTGTTAATTCCTGGGCATAAACAATGCCATTCTGGGAAAGCTGTAGGAAAAGATGGTTGGGGGTGGGGGGGGAGTAGCACAGGCTCCTCTTTACCTTCCTCATTGAATCATAGTATTTGGAGCTAAAGGGGACCTTGTAGTCATCCAGGCCAGGCCAGCTCCTGCAAAGGCCTAGAGAGGCAGATGGACCATTCAGGAGCAGAGCTGGGATGGAAAGGGACATTTTTTGATTCCAAATTTCCATCTCACCATGCTGCTTTATCTCTACACCTTTCTAGGTGCCTGAGTTAAGCTTGCTTTAGAATTGCCTTTGTCTTATTTGGCAGTATAATTATAATAATAATAACTACCACTTATATAGACTTAATATGTGCTGGGCGTTGCTAAGTGCTTTATAATTATTATCCCATTTGATTCTCACAACCACCCTGGGAGGTAAGTGTCATTGTTATCCCCATTTTACCCGTGAGGAAACTGAGATAGACTGAGGTTAAGTGACTTGCCCAGGGTCACACAGCTAGGAAGTGTCTGAGGCTTTGTGTGAACTCTGGACTTCCTGGCTTTAGGCCCAGTACTCTCTATCCATTGTGCCACTGCTACCCCAATGCTGTAAATGTTGTTTCTAAAATATTCTTTCCTCTTCCCTGTTTAAAGTACTTAGCAACATAGCACTTTTAATGTGTCACTACATAGGAGATAAGCTAAAAATAGAAATCCAGGAAGGTTTTCCTGCCATTTGGCTTGTTTGTGATTTGAAACAGAAATTGGATGTTTCTGAAATGGGACTGATGAGTGGGGAATCAGATATGTTACTCATGAAGTTCTGACAGTTTGTTTTTCCTTCCTGCTTCCATTCTTGCAGAATTTCTCGTTTTTCAAATGTCTATCATCTCTCTATTCATATTTCCAAAAACTTCGGCGCTGACACCACAAAGGTGTTTTATATTGGACTGAGAGGAGAATGGACTGAGGTAAGAAAGAGAAAACAGAGAAGTGGCATGAGAGCTTTATAAATTACAGTGGAGGAATCTAATAAAAGGAAGAAAAGTATGTGAAATAAATTCTTCCATGCCACCCTTATTTCTTCAGGAGTTCTTCATGGAATATCTACCCTGGTAGTTTGATATGTACTACTTAATTTTAATTGTTGTAGGGGTGTGCTTTCTGCTATGAATTATGTAGCCTTCTAACAGTTTAGAGGGATATAACAGTCACTAAGAGAATCTGTTCTAGCTGAGGCTCAGAGAAGCCATTTGTTAAAGGTCACAAGGTTGTTGAGAGGTAGAGCTGGACACAGGTTACCAAGGCCAGTGCTTCATTGGCCACACACTATTGCCTTCAAAAGTTCTGTCAAGTTCTTTTCCTGGAGTAACGGGTGAAAAATCTAGTAACGAACGTGAAGGGATTTTCAAGTTATAAAGTAGCAGAGGGTGATAGATATGGATGGCTTTAAGCAATTTATCCCAAAAAAGGATTGAGGATAATTCTAAGTGTGGTCTGGGAAACAGTGTTTTTTTAAGGGTCAGTTGGCTAATTCAGCTTTTCTTGCTTTTCCTGAAGATGCGTCGACATGAGGTGACTATCTGCAATTATGAAGCATCAGCTAATCCAGCAGATCACAAGGTCCAGCAGGTCACTCCACAGACACACTTCATTTCTTAAAGGCAAGCTGGGCCTCCCACAGGAGCTTTTGTGTCCATGATGATGTCAGACAACCATTTTGGAAGGAAAAAGATGGGGCTTGAGAGAGAGAGATGGCTATTGCAGCTTCCCCCAAAGCTTTGTTGCTTGGGGCCTGAAAACTAAGGACACCCAATCATTGGCAAGGGCCACCGGCTTGTTGAGGACAGTTTGGCACTTTGGGTACTATAGAAATTGAGTCTTGAGCCTGTTGGAAATCTGGAAGTCATGGATAGCCCTCAATTTCCTAGTTTGGATGTGGCTGTGGACTCTTTAAGTGTTTTTATCCCTTTGTGGCAGGACTTGTGTGTGTAACCTTTTTAAAAATCAGTGTATACCACTACTGGGTTGCCTGTAGCATTCCAAGTTCTTGAGATTTTGTTCATGGCGTTTGCCAGTAAGATCTCTATCTTGAAACACTTCTCCTTGCTTGCTCCCTCCTGTGTGTGTGTGAAGTATTTTGTGTTTGTTGTGGCTAAGCCACTCAGGTCTACCAGGTAGCTGCTACCCCCCTACCCCCTCTTGAAGTATGCTGGGATCGTGGCTAGAAAGCTCATCTCTTGATCCCATTTACAGCTTTGCGTCCTTTCTTTCTGCCTTTGGTAACCAATCTCGGAGGGGCAGTGTGTGTTGGAATTGTTCACATGGGTATGGCCGTCTTGGTGGTGACATTGGGGTTTAGGAAAAGCGTTGTTTATGGCATGATGCTTAATGCTCCTTAGAAACCAGAAATCTTTGAGCTCTTCCGTGCACAGCTTTCCATTCCCTGTGACTAAGAAGCTTCCTAATAAATTCACAACAGACACAACATTTATCTTTCTTTTTTCATTCACATTAATAGTATTTCCCGCTTCTAGAACACTTTATGGCTCATAAATAACTTTCCTCAAAAAGCCCTGTGAAAAGAAGTCGTTGAGTACATAGGAATTGGAGCTTCAGACCTTAGAGATAACCTAGTCCAACTGTCATTTTATATATGAAGAAACTGCAGCCCGGAGTTTAAATGATTTGCCCAAGATCACACAAGTCATGAAAAGCAGAGCCAAAATTCAAAAGCAGGTTCTTTGAAAATTCATTGGTTTTTGTCCCTAGAGATGCTGCTTTATGCAAGGGAGACGAGGAGAGGGAGGCTCGTGAGTTGACTTGCACGGGGGCAGAGCCAGAGTCTTCACTCGCAGACTCGCTTCCTGCTACACAAAATGCTAACTCCACACCAAGGACTCCGGAAAGTTCTACTCCAGGCTCACGGGGGGGGGGGGGGGGGGGGGTAACAGTAACCTTAGTTCCTTGGTTCAGACACAGATTTTTCCTCATTTCTTGAAACCATGAAGAAACTGCCTGCTCACCTGGAAGTAAGGTTTGTGCACGTGCTGAGGAGCTGGCTGCCTTTTTCCAGTGTGCATTAAACTCATAGCATGGTAAGATCATGGGACTGAAGGGAAATAACTTCAGCTGTTCTCCAGTGCTATGCCCCTGCAAAGATAATTAGCATTCACACTTAAAAAGACAGGTGGTCAACTTAGAGTACTACATTTCTCCAATGGCAAAGAGCTGTCAGATACGGAAACTCTCAGATTTGAGGAAAAGTTAAGATGTGGCCCTTGCTGAAAAAGGACAGTTTCAGGAACTGAATGTGGCTGTATGTGAACTGACAACCACAGTAAATTCGACACTTGCTTGATGCACATCCACCAGTCTCCAACTACAGCAGCTTTATCAATACTGTATAGTAACTTGGAGATGAGAACAAGAAGTTCCATGGAGGTTAGCAGTAAGAAGGAGGGAAAGGTATCTAATTTTAAATCTTGAAAACAGGTAGGAAAAAGCACTATTTTGTGAAACTTGTTAAAATACTCATCCAAAGTAACCCCAAGTTGTGAAACTTGCTGACTTCTGAAGTGTGGTTTTGAATTGCTACAGAATAACTATGTAATCTGTGAGCATGGAGAAGAATTGTGTATTAGCTGGACTGTTTTGGGGAAGGTGATTTACAAGTTCCTTGGGCTTGGCAGGAGGGGAGTATTGGGGGCCTTGCCACAGTCGCCCTCCACCTGTTTTCTTTTTAGTTCATCTTCCTTTCTTTTCAACCTGTCTCATCAGGGGCTGCTTTAGTACTGGCACTTCTGGCAAAAGCAGGAGCTTGGTTCGGGTGCCTTAAATCTTATTTCATAGGTACCCATTAAGCATTCGAGGTCAAAAGGACCTGTCTTATGGCCGGGGGGGGGGGGCATGGTAAATGCCACCTAGGGCTTTGAATCAAAGGCAAAACTTTGGTAGTTCAGAGAGAAGCTTATAGGTGATTAAATTGGGAGGATGCATCCTGGGTGGCTGAGATGAGTCAGTTCCTGTTCACTGGTTGGTTGTCATGCTAGTAAAAACGGTGATTCCAGACATACTGGTTTTCCTTGGGGAAAACTTTATTGTAGCCAAGAACCCAAACCTTTCAATTCTTTTTCAGTCTGCAAGAGTCTCAATCCGTGGCTCTCTCCTTGGGGCTGTGCCCCTTAAGTATCTGCACCATCTGGCGGGTGTCGTCTTACAACATTTTACAATAAGGGGTCTTCGAGGTTACAAAGTACAACTCCCATCTTAGAGAGTGGGATACCAAGGCCCAGAAAAAGGAAAAGACTTGAGCTAAGCCGCACAGCAATTACAGCGGCAGAGCCAGGACTAGAACTCGGGTCTTTCGTGTTCCAAGCAAAAACATTTTCTACTGCTTTAAAGTGGCCTACGGATTGAGGGGTGGCTACACCAGAGCTCCCAGGGGGGAGGGGAGAGACACAAAATCTGGCCATTTCAGTGGCCTGCAGCCTCGGTGCCCAGGGTAAGGGCGGTGATGCGGCCCTAATTGTGCAGCTCCTGGGGCCACGTTAAGAAAGACAACGAAAGGTGGTCACGCATCGGGGGCAGTCAGGGAGAAGGCTGCTCTTCCAGGAGGGGGGCCGAGGAGCCACGGATGACGTCCAGCGAGCAGGAAATCACGCGGGGTCACGGCTCGCTCACTCCGCGCTTCTCCGGGGGGCACGCGCCGGGCTGAGCCTCCTCACGGCGCTCGTCCTGGAGTTAGGCCACTCCGCCTGGCCGGGGCCGTCCGAAGGGAGGGCTTCCACTCCCCACCTTGGCCATCTCAGTCCTCGGGAGCGGCCCCCCAGGGAGAGACCCTCGCGCCGCTTCCGGGTTCCGTCCCGCGCGGTGCACGGCACTTCCGGCAGCGCGTGGCCGGGTTCTCGCAGCCCAAGCGGAAGTTCCGGCGGGGGCAGCGGGAGGGGGAGGGGTTGGGGGTGGGGGGGGTGGGGAGCTCTGTGAGTATCCGAGCCAGAGAAAGAGGTGAGTCGCCCAGGACGGATTGGAGCCCCCGAGAGCTGGGCGCGGCGGAGGTACCATTGTCCGTGAGCCCGGGGGGGGGTGCGTAGGGGTTGTGGGACGGGCGGGACCATCTCGAAGGGCCCGACGCAGTGGTGGGAAACGGAGGCCAGGCGGCGAGAGGAACGAACGAGGCGGAAGGTCCCCTGGTGGGGGCTCCCGCGGCACCAGCGAGAGGGGCGCGGGAGGGCGGTGCGCCATTGTGTGGGACCCCGGGGCCAGAGATGGAACGTCCTATTGTGAGGCTGCCGGAGGGGAGGGGGCAGGAGTGGGATGTCCCATTGTGGGGATGCCCTGAGTGGGATGTCCCATTGTGGGGTGGGGGAGCAGGAGGGATGCCCAGAGAGGGATGTCCCATTGTGGGATGGGGGGGCAGGAGGGATGTCCTAGGTGGGATGTCCCCTTGTGGGCTAGGGGGAGCAGGTATGATACATTAGGTGGGGTGTACCATTGTGGAGTGGGGAGCGGGAGGGATGCCCTGGGTGGGATTGCCCCATTGTGGAGAAGTGGGGGGACAGGAATGAGACATCCCATTGTTGGGATGGGGGACAGGAGGGGTGCCCTAGGTGGCATGATTCATTGTGGGGATGTAAAGAGACAGGAGGAGCAGGATGTCTTATTTTGGAGAAGTTGGGGGACAGGAGTCGGATGTCCTATTGTGGGGTAGGGGGAGAGGAGGGACGCCCTGAATGGGATGTCCCATTGGGGGGATATGGGAAGACAGGAGTGAGATGTCCCATTGTGAGAAGGGAGAGAGGGGGATGGAAGCTCCAAATGGGATGTCCCATTGCAGAAGTGCTTAATGTGTTGGCAGAGTAGGAAGGCAGGCTTTGAAAGCTGTAGGTAAGATGTCCCATTGTGGAGGTTCCTGGGGTACCATGGCTCCTTGTGGGGGGCTTATATGAGAGAGAGCCATGGGTGGGAGATCCCATCGTAGGATCTTGAGAGACCTGGATGGCATTAGGAGGGTGCCCGGTGGAATGTGAGGGGAAGGAACCCTTGGTAGATAGATGGGCTGTCTCATTGTGTTCATTGAGAGACCCTAGGGACGATATTGGAAGGAGCTCTTTTGGGTGGAACAGTCCTTGCAGGAATGGGAATGGCTGTTTGGGGGTTGGGGTGGGGAGGATGCTCTATTGTAGAAACTCCCAAGAGTCTCTTTGGGTAGTAGGGAGTTAATGAAAAGCCTCTTGGGAGAGGGGGTGGTATACCAGAATGGAAAAGGGAGGGAAATGAATATGGGGGGATGTTAGTGAAAGGGATACAAACCACACCAACAATGTGACTCCAGGTAGGGGATGCGTGGGATATGCCATGGAGGTGTGGGGTGGTCATGGGGGTCCTGATGAAAGCTCAGTCTCAGTATGGAGGTCTGGGGGGCCCAACTGAATATCTAAAAGGCCAGTGGCTGGTGGGCAGGAGCAGGACAGGAAGTGTCCCTAGGAACTTCTCTTTCTGTTTTTCCTCTTGTCAGGGTGGGCCCAGACCAAGGAGGAAGAGAAAGTAGGTTTTGGGGGTTGGGATGGGAGTCAGAGGAAGGATAGGGCTTCTGGGGTTCTTGGGCCTGAAAGGTCAGAGAAATTTTGGGGGGCAACCAGATGAGGATCTAGAGGGCTGAGGTTTGGCCAGGGGTCTCTTTCTGCCCAATTATGCTGAGCCTCCTGCTCCGTGCTTTGGCCATCCCTGTGGCTGGCCTAGTGGTGTTGGTGGGGTTAATGCCACTGATCCTGTCCAGTTTGGCATCTTTCCAGAATAGGCCATCCCCACTCAGCCTCTGTCAGAGGGGCTGAGCCAGGCCAGATGGGATAAGCCTGGCTTTTGACAGAGAGAGAGAGAAAGAAAGAGAAAAACGGCATCTCCTCTCTTCTGTCCTATTCACCTCCTAGCTTCCTCACAGTCAGACAGAAGATGTCAGAGCTCACAGGGACCAGAGAAAGGGAGGGACCTATCTAACATAGAGAGTTAGGGGCAGAGGCAGGACCCCTGACTACAATTCAATGCCCAGGATTCGATCCCTCTACCCTCACCTAATCTCAGCCCTGTCTGCCAAGGGAGAGCCCAGCAATAGAACTGGTGGGGGGTGGGGGTAAGGAGGGGAAGTCTTTGGGGTTATGCTGAAATTCGCCACTGTCAATGGAGAAGACCTGAAAGCAAGGGCCTGCTCCTGGGGGCCAGACCCACCATACAGCTCTCTGTCCCCATTCAGGCCCCAGCGCTGGCATCCCTGTTGGTGTATGTGCGGTAACAATATGTCTGTCCCCCTGCTCTCCGACGCTGCGACTGTTTCAGGAGCTGAGCGGGAGACAGCAGCGGTAAGGGAGAGGGCCTGCTGGGACCCCAGTACAGGCCTCTTGGGGAGCCTGGGGGCTGGGCCTGAAGGGGTGTGGGAAAGGTGGAGGTGGCCCGATGGCAGCTTCCCTAGGGCCAGGAAATAAGGGGATAGATAATGACCTGTTACCCATTGCCTCAGTTTCTGGGGTGTGGGAGTAGGGAAGGGGCTGGCTGGAGGAGAGGCCATGGAGAAGAGTGGGGATCAGGAAGGAGTCCCCAAGCCTCTTAGCCCTGCCTCTGCTTTCTGTTCTTCCTCCAGGTTATTTTTTTACATGGACTTGGAGACTCAGGGTAAGTGAGGTTCCTTGGGTGGGAGGTAGGTCCTAGCCTAGAGAGCTGGTATCGGGCAGCCTTCCCATCATGTGCCCCTCTCTCCCTGGCCTGTCTTTGCTTTCTTCCCACAGGCACAGCTGGGCTGATGCCCTTTCCTCCATCCGCCTTCCCTACGTCAAGTACATCTGTCCCCATGCGTAAGTGATGCCTTTAGGGTGTGGGGGGTGGGCTGGGAGAGCTTAGGAGGTTGGGAATCTGGAGAGTCGGGAAAGGGTCAGGGCTGAGGGCCTCCCATCACATCCTTCCCCTTGGACCCTGCTCCAGCCACTAGGTCACCTGAATCAGACCCTGCCCAGAGGAGTCATCAGAATGAGGGCCTGGCTGATTCCTTACCTCTCCCCTGCCCCTACCCTCCTGCCAACTCTGGACCCTCTGCATAAGGGACTCCCCAGCACTCACCAGGCATAGTGGGAGCCCTCCGATGTCAATGCACTGATGCTAGAACCTGAGCAGCCTCTGGCCCCATGTGGCTGGTTGCCTGGCAACTCTTCAAACATTGGTCTGGGGTTGGGGAGGGCCTCTCTCAGTCCTGATCTGGCCCCTGGGCCTGGTGCCCAAGGCTCCACCCTTAGCATCCTCCCCAAGGACTGAGGCCCAGGGGTGGCAGGGAGGGGGCGGTCACTTCTCCTGTTCCTTTCTTCTCCCCCCAGCCCTCGGATCCCGGTCACACTGAACATGAAGATGGTGATGCCTTCCTGGTAAGTGATAATAACTAGGGCTGGCCTTGGCTCTTGGAGGGTCTCTTCAGAGAAGGGAGGGACTGGTCCAGGGCAGGTCCTGGGAGAGATCAGGGTCCCCTTGTCTGCCTTATCTGTAGGTTTGACCTGATGGGCCTGAGTCCTGATGCCCCGGAAGATGAAGCTGGGATCAAGAAAGCAGCAGAGAGCAGTAAGTCTTTCTCATTCCCCCCCTACACATGAACCTTCAGTCATTCAGCACAGAATGAGCATTAAGAGGTCCTACTGTGCACAGGCCACTGTGCTGGGGAGATTACAAAGGTGTAGGTAAGAATCAGTCCTTGGAGTCCATGGAGTTTGTGGCCTAGGACAATGCACCATTAATACATTTACAATGATTCTTCATTCAAAAAAAATTCACACTGGGCTTTTGGGGTGTAGGGAAGGTTGGCGGGGCAGGATAGAGTTTAGCTGGGACACACAGTATCTGTCCTCATGGAGAAGACATGACTCTGCTCCCCATTTCTGGAAGACCCAGGTTTTAGGCCTTTGAGGGGACCCCCAGAGCCTCTTTCTTCATCCAACTCCCCCTTGTCACTCCGTTCCCCTCCCTGCCCCCTCAAGTCAAGGCCCTGATTGAGCACGAGGTGAAGAACGGAATTCCAGCCAATCGAATCATCTTGGGGGGCTTCTCCCAGGTGAGGAAGGAGTGCTGGGGCCTGGCTCTGAAGGTGGGGAGGCTGAGGGGGAGCAGGATATGGGAAGGGAAGGCGGAACATGGCTGGGAGGCAGTGTCTCTGTGGGCAGGGCCTGACCCGAGCCTCCGGCTGGGCCTGTCCCAGGGTGGAGCCCTGTCCCTCTACACAGCTCTCACCTGCCCGCATCCCCTGGCTGGCATCGTGGCCCTCAGCTGCTGGCTCCCCCTGCATCGGGCCTTCCCTCAGGTGAGTGACCCTGTCCTCTTCTCTCACCTTATCCCTCCAACTGGAAGGTGCTTGGAGGGAGACACACTGGATCGTCAAGTTAGAGGGAGCTGCAGTCATCCCAGGCCAGGCTCTCATTCTACACAACCCAGAGACGGAAGTCAGTTGCCTAAAGTCCCATAGGTAGGAGGTAACAGAGCCAGAATCTGACCCCAACGCCTCGGATTTCAAAGCTAGTGCTTTCCCCTTGTGCCGTCTCCATGATCATCCGACTTTGACAGTTCAGGAAACTGAGGTTCAGGGAAGTTGAAGTTACTTCTCCAGTGATACAGTAAGGTAGTGTGGAGCCGGGACTCAGGCTTGTGACCTCGGGAGTCCTTCCCCAAAACTCTTCCCCCACGTCACATTGCTCTGGTTCCCAGAATGGAGAATGCCAAAGGAACAAAGGCGTCAGAGCTGGAAGGAGCCTGGCTGTTTTAGGTCAGGGATTCTTCTCCTGGTTTGGATCATGGACCCCTCAGGCATGATCCAAACCAGGTGAAGAAGCCCCGGACCCTTTCTCAGAATGTTTGTGGACTACATTCTTAACTGGAGGAAATGTTTAATTTCATTGGAGGTTAGTAAAAATAAAAATGTACATTTTTTTCCCCATCAAGGTGCACAGACCCCCTTGAAATCCATCCATGGTTAAGGCCCCTGGTGAAGAATCCCTCATCTGGCCCAACGTTCTCATTTTGCTATTAAGGGGGAAAACTAAATGAATATATGTATATATTTTTAGCACATCACACAAACCTTAATAAAATTGATCAGCAAACATTGTGGGACTACAGTGTGCTGTAGGCACTGGGAAACACAGAGAAAAATTGAACCACCCCTGCCTCCACAAGAAGCTTACGTTCTGATGGGTTGGGAGAATGGGACATGTTCCGAAGGAATGCAGAGTGATCTGATGGGGTGGAAGGTGCTCCTTGGCATCAGGAGTGGCCTCCTGGGTGGGCGGGGGGCGCCACGTCCCCTCACCCCCCTCAGGTACCATCCCGCCGTTAAGCAGAACGGGTCACAGTGCTGGTGACTGACAGGCCAGGCAGCTGCCTGCTCTCCGCTGACGTCTGCTTTGACGACTTGCTCTGAGTTTTGTAGTTTAAGGCTGTCTTCATGTAGTCAGTCCCCTGGTCTGTCCGAGGTTCTGGGGGACTCCCCTCGGTGGGGGGTGGCCCTTTGCGCATCGCTTCCTTTGCTCTGCGTCAGCGGTCCGAGCCCCACGTGCCTCTCGGAGTTCTTGTTTGCTGTTCTTTGGAGGTGATGCCGTCTGGCCCTCTTCTGACGGCACCTCGTCCGGCTCTTCCCGTCATTACCTTGTTTGCTTCCAGCTCTGCTATTACAGAGTGGTGGTGGTGTGCAGTCGTGTCTGACTCTCCGTGACCCCACTTCGGATCTTCTTGGCAAAGATACTAGAGTGGTTTGCCATCTCCTTCTCCTGCTTATTTTATAGATGAGGAACTGAGGCAAACAGGGTGAAGTGACTTACCTAGGGTCACATCGCTAGCAGTGTCTGAGGCTGGACTCAGGTCTTCCTGACTCCAGGCCCTGCGCTGTCTACTGTGCCACCTAGCTGTCCTCTTACAAAGAATGCCCCTACAAATATTGGGGGGGGTGTCTTTTGTTGTAACCTCCTTGGGGTTCAGGCCCAGTCACAAGAATGCTGGGTCACAGGCACAAGTTAGCTGCTGCAGCACTGGGCCTGTTGGCTGTCCCCCCAGGCCCTGGTAACCCCCTTCCCTGATCTCAGACTCTGCCCCAGCAGGCAGCCAATGGCACGGCCCGGGACATGGCCATCCTGCAATGCCATGGGGAACTGGACCCCATGGTGCCCGTGCGCTTTGGCGCCCTCACCTCCGAGAAACTCAAGTCTGTCGTTCCTCCAGCCAAGGTGCAGTTTAAGACCTACCCGGGTGTCATGCACAGCTCCTGTCCTCAGGTGAGTGCCCCCCCATCCCTCCCCCAACTCCCACTTCAGTGACTCCCCGTGACGGACTTCCATCCCCACAGGAGATGGCAGCTGTGAAGGAATTCATTGAGAAGCTGCTGCCCCCCATCTAACAGGACCCGGCCTGCCCCCCCTTCCCCCAGGTGGGGCTGGAGGGGCCCTCAGCAGTGTCTGATCTCTGAACGTGAAGCAGAAGCCATGGCAGCCCCTCCCCTACCCCTGGGTCTTTGAGGTCGTAGGAGGATTGGGCCCCTCCCCCTTGGAGATCATCTTCCTAGCTCCTGTCCCCATCCCTGTCTCTTTCCCTGTCCTGTCGCTGTCCTGGGAGGCTGTGGATAAAGGGTGCAGGCTCCTGTCTCCTCAGCTGCCATAGTCTGTCCTCTGTAATCTTCCCATCCCCCAGGGCCACAGTATTGCAAGGGGTGCACGGGGGCCCAGCTGCTGACCCACTCAGGACCTGTATGTACCTCACGGGTCTGGCTTCTGGGTGTACCTCTCTCCTCTTCCCCCCCAGGTGACCTCAGTGTTTGGGCAGGGGGGGCCTCCAGGCTCCCCCCACCCAGACACCCACTCTCCCCCCTCCTCCTGCTGTCCCCCCTTCCTCATTCAGATAATCACGTGTCTTCTGTTGCTTTCTCGTCCCCTGGCCCTCATCATGAATGTCTATTTTTTCTGCTGACAATGCACCTCCCCTGTGCCTGAGGCCCCTCTTGCTGCTGTGCCCCTCCCTGCAGGGGAGGGGCTGGGGCCCAGGCTGTGGGGGTGGGAGTGGGGAGAGGGCGGTGCATCTGGCTTGGAACTTCTCCCCACAAAAAAGATCCCTGGCGGACTCTCCTTCCGGGCCAGACACCCCCGTTTCTAGGCTGGGGGAGCTGGGCCCTGCCCTCTGGGGGAAGGATGGAGGACCTGTTCCCTGCCTCAGCTGGATGGTGCCCAGATGTTCTTGGCCTGTTCTCCTCATCCCCCTTTCCCCTAGGGAGGGGGCTGAGGCTCAGGTTCTGAGCCCAAAAGGGGCTCATCTTCCTCCTCCTCCATGTGGTTTTGGGTGTTCTTGTTTCTTGTTTTGTGTCTCCAAGTCACATCAGATTAAAGAAAAATAAACCGTCTACCTTGGTCCTTGTTCTGAGTTGGGGAGGAGAGGAAGGGGTTCAGAACGATGGAGTAGGTCAGCTCCTATCCTACTCCCTAGCACCAGGGCCCAGAGGCAAAGTGTAAGAAACTTTTATTTATGAATCTGATTATAAGATTAGAAATGATTTTGGAAGGAGGGGCTGGGCCTTGGCTCCCTACCTACCCCCTCTGTTTTGGGGACCATGGTGGGACAGGGGCATCCATCCTGTCCCTCTCGGACAGGTCTTGACCTTGGGGAGGGAAGGGCATGGAGTTCAGCTCCTTGGTGGAAGGGGGTCCCCTGGATGGCAGGGAGAGTGAAGACGGGGTGAGGTAGGAAGGTAAAGCCCTGCCCTCTCTCCTGTGCTCTCCTGGGTAAGCAGGGATCAAGTTTAGTTCTCTCAGCCCCGTTGGTGGGTATGAGGTTCAGCATCTAACCCTCCCTTCATCCCAGAGAAGCCGGAGATGGGATAAAGCCCAAGTTAAAGCTCCGGTTGGGGAGGTCCATCATTTCCAATATTCCTCGGTGGCCTTGCTGCTAAATCCTGTTGGATTCTGTTCTTGCCACCGCCAAAGGTCCTCACCTGAAACAGGCAGGGAGAAGGTGGCTCAGGGTCCTGGGTGAAAGCGGAGGGCAGAGGACAAGTCACCTCCCATGTTCAGCCATCCTTGACCAGAACCCTCTCCAGATACTCACACATCTTGTCTAGGCCAAAATCTGCTTTCCAGCCCAGCTCCTCCTGAGCCAACTTGGGATTGGCATAGCAGGTGGCCACATCCCCGTCCCGGCGGGCCACAATCTGATATGGAATCTGCAACCATACAACATGAAAGGTCTGCTGTGGGTAGAGGCAGGTCAGGGATGCGGGTGATGCTTGGTGAATGAGAGCAGGTCCTTTGCACAAGAGCTATCTGTCTAACCAACGCCCTAGGAGAAGGGAGCTGGGAGTGGCATTGGCCCCATTTTACAGATCGAGTCCTGAGCAAGGGGTTAAGTGACTTCTGGTCAGATGCTTTGAAGCTAGAAACTGGCCCCATCACAGGTTTGCAGATCCACAGCAGGAAAGGGGCTTCAGAGGAAAACTAGACTAACCTCCTCATTTAACAGATGAGGAGACTGAAGCCCTGCCCACAGTTCTAGAGTTGGTAGGTGGTTGAGCCAGGACCCTGTGCTCTTTCCCACCCTTCCTCTGCCTCTGAGGAGTCACAGATGTCATGGTCTGGTGGAAGCGGGGGCCTGGGGGATTTGGGGCATGGTCCGGGGCATCAGTCCCACCTTCTTTCCAGAGGCTTTCTCCATGGCAGACACCATCTGTAGCACCGAATAGCCAGTGCCCGTCCCCAAATTATAGATCTGTGGGGACAAGGCATCCCATGAGAAGGGGGTGCCTGACAGTGCTGGGGACCCCTTATTTTAGCATCTGTCACCAGCTGCCTCCTTCACACACTCCCCCACGGACTTGCTGCCTACCCGACAGCCACATTGTTCCTTGAGTTTCTTCAGAGCTGTGATGTGGCCCTTAGCCAAGTCCACAACGTGGATGTAATCCCGGACACCTGCATGGAGGAGGTGTCCCATCAGCCCCCAACTATTGGCAGGACTCCCTTGCCCACTAAGTACCCACCCCCTCAAACTGCCCCCTCCACTTTAGCAGATGAGTTGAAACTATATTTATTAATGCCTAGAGCATGTGTAGCACTGTCCTGGGGGCCTTGTCCTCAGCGATCCCTCACCTGTCCCATCCACTGTGCTATAGTCGTTGCCATAGACGTTGAGGACTTCCCGACGTCCTACAGCCACCTGGATGGGGGAGGGGAGTTAGGGTTAGCCCTCTTCCCTAAGTCACCCCAGGCAAGTCTGGCTCCCCGCAACCCTGGCCCGAGGGGTACCTGGGAGACATAGGGCATCAGGTTGTTGGGGATGCCTTGTGGGTCCTCGCCGATGCGGCCAGAGGCGTGGGCCCCGATGGGGTTGAAGTATCTCAGCAGCACGGCATTCCAGGCCTGTGGAACCTAGAGCTGTCAGCTGCAGGGGCCTTCCAGGCACCTTCCCAAGCTCCTGACCTCTCCCCTGCCCCAGTGACCTGAAGGAAGTCACTTCTCCCTTGCCGGGCCTCAACTGCCCCCCTGTCAGATGACCCGTGGGGGCCTTTACCTTCTCTGCCCGGCACAGGTCCCGGATCATCTCCTCGATGAAGAACTTGGACTTGCCATATGGGTTGGTGCAGCCCCCCCGTGGGGTGGTTCTCATCCAGGGGCAGGTAGTGGGGGTTTCCATATACGGTAGCTGAGCTGCTGAATACCAGGTTCTTCACCCCGTGAGAGTTCATGGTCTGGGCCACCAGAAGGGAAAGGGGGGAGGTCAGAGGCCTCAACACTGGAAGACCCTGAGGTTTGAGGCTGTCACCTTGTCCCCCTGCCTGCCCCCCCGAGCTGGGAGGAACGCACCCCTCGTCCCATCTCGGTCCCTTCTGATGTCCCAAGAGGTCAGGGCTAAGCCCCTGTCACTTCTGGGTCAGTCTAAGGCTCCACTGGTCCTGTCAGACTATTTGCCACTGCCAGTGGGTCAGTGGGCAGAGGCCCAGGGAGGTGGCATCCATCTGGCCTGAGCTTCTCACCTCCAGCAGCTGGATGGTCCCCATGAGGTTGACCCTGTAGTAGTCCAGAGGTTTCTGTACTGACTCCCCAACTGCCTTGAGCCCCGCAAAGTGGATCACAGCCACGAAAGTGTGCTGTAGGGAAGACAGAGAGCATGGAGGCAGGTGAGGCTGGGGGGGATCCCTGTCCTGGGCCCATCCCAGAGGATCCATGGCCCAGGCCCACCTTGGGCTCCTCCCCTCACCTTCTTAAAGAGTCCTTGCAGGGCTGCTTGGTCCAGAATGTCCATTTCCTCAAACTCCACCTTCTTGCCTGTGAGTTCTTCTACTCGCCTCAGGCTCTCAGGCATGGGCCCCTGCCCTGGATGGGAGAGAAGGTGGGCTCAGGGGTCTGGAAGAGAAGGCAGACCCTGGGGGCTGGGGGCCTGAGAGAGAAGACGGGCCCTGGGGTTTGGGGGAGATGACAGGCCCTGGAGGCTGGGGGCCTGGGAGAGAAGGCAGACCCTGGAGGTTGGGGGCCTAGAAGAGAAGGCAGACCGTGGGGGCTGGGGGCCTGAGAGAGAAGGTGGGCCTTGGGGCTGGGGGCCCAGGAGAGATGACATGCTTAGGGGCCTGGTCCCCCCTCTCCTCTCTCCCTCCACCCCAGACACTGTCCGGCTGGGCCATCGGTAGGGTGCTGGGGACCTCACCACGGATGGTATTATGGAAGTTGTCGATGACCACGGGCTGGTAGCCAGCCTCCAGCAGCTCCAGGACAGTGTGGCTGCCGATGTAGCCGCCTCCTCCAGTGACCAGCACCTTCTCCGCCATCCTTCACACCTGGGGTAACAAAGGGAGCCTCAGAGAGGCGGGGGCTATCTGGGACAAGGCCCAGAGCTCTTCCCCCTCCCGCTCCACGTCCTTGCTTGGGATCATTCCCCTTTCCTCCCACCACAGCTGCCCCTGGGAGATCTCCAAGCACCCAACTCACTGGGGGGGGGGTAGGGGGGCAAGAATGGAAACGGAGAGATGTCAGCTAAGTCGTGCTAGGCAGGCAGGCAGTCTACAAGCTCCTCGTCCAGAGCCCTGGAGGGTCTGGGCTGTGGACGTGGCTCAGACCTGGCCAAGCTGTCAGGTAGGGAGTTTCCTCTCCAGCCAAGGAAAAGGGAGGAATTCATTCAGGTTTTCAAAGAACTCCAGCTTCCCTCCCCTCCCCCTGCCTCCCGAGGGCAGCTAGTCCATTCTGGTTCCTGTTCTGGCCCCTCCTTTCTCCCCGCCTTCCAAACTGGGCCCAGCCACCCCGGAGCTGCAGGTCCGGCAGGGACAGCGCCACGGCCCCTCCCTCCCTTCGGGGTAGTTAGGGGAGAAGGTAGGAGGTTCTGCTCGGAATCTGTCGGGGGCTGGGAGGAGAGGCCTCCCCGGTCCCCAGGACCCAAAGAAGGGCAAAGGGTCTCTTGGAACAGAACCAGGGCCCCCCTGGGGACACTCAGGCTGGGGAGGAGCTGAACTAGCATTAAGGGGCTATTGGCTGGGGAGACCCCCAACGCCAAGGGGAGTTGAGTCTGGTCCAGTGTGTCTCTAACCAGCTCCCCGAAGAATGAAGGGGATAGTGAGGCCCCACACAGGGAAGAGGAGCCTGAACTGGGCTCAAGCCAGCTCCTGGTCCATCTCCCTCACGGCCCTGACCCCATTCCTCCTCTCTTCCTCCTCACGCGGAGGGACTTTGGCCCAAAGGTAGTGAGCCCCGCCAAGTACAAACAGCCACGAATACACATGGACTGGCCCCCCTGGCCTACCCCCACCTGTGGCTTCTGGCTCAGTGGCAGGACATGGCAGGGAGAAGGACAGTTCACCTGTCCCAACCTGGGTGCCTGTGTGCTGCCCCTCCCTCACCCCCCCCTCACCTTTCCAGACTGTCCAGCCCACCCCCATTCCCAAGGCTCGGATCACTGTCTGAGGTGACCCAGCCTTTCCTCTACCCTTTACTACTCACCTCGCCAGAGCCCCATCCTCTCTCACTCACCACCTCCTAGCCTGCTTCTTTCCTCTAGAGATGGGGAACCTGCGGCCCCGAGGCCACATGTGGCCCTCTAGGTCCTCGGGTGTGGCCTTTTGACCAAGTCCAAGTTTTACAGAACAAATCCTTTTCTTAAGGGGATTTGTTCTGTGAAGTTCGGATTCTGCCCAAGGGCCTCACTTGAGGACCTAGAGGGCCTCATGTGGCCACAGGTTCCCCATCCCTGTATCAGCCCATACCCCCAATATCAATCACTTCCTATACCTCTCACCTTCCTTGGCGGCTCTGCCCACCATCCTCTAACACTTAGCACTCTCCTACCCACCCACTACGGCTCACCTCCTAAACTGCTCACTATAATGAGGCAGCCGGTAGTGCAGAGTTCTAATTTGACCTCAGGCACTAGCCGGGTGATTCTGGGTAAGTCATTTGACCTGTTTGCCTCAGTTTCTTCAACTGTAAAATGGGGATAATCATAGCACAGCCTCCTGGCAAGGCTTTTGTGGGGATAAAACTGGGCTAACATTTGTAAAGCGCTCCTTTATGAAGCCTATCCACTCGGGCTAAGCGACGGTTAATGTCCTACGCCTGTCACTCGCCTTGGGCAACTCTGGACTCTCACCCATCCTCTACCTTCCACCTCTTAGGCTGGGCTGCTCCGCCCTCCCTTCCGTTCCGCTCTGCGAGCCGCGAGCCCCTTCTGACACCGCCCGCAGCCCTCGTACCTGGTCAGCAGCCGGCGACCCTCCTGGATTACAGATTTAAACGGTGGGGTCCCGCGCCAGGTCGGCTAAGGTCCAGGTCCACCTGCCGCGCTGCCCCTTTAAAGGTTTATAGCCACGCCCCTGCCACGCCCCCTTCGGAACACGCTACCTAAGGCCCCATGGAAACGTGTCACCGAGACTCCCGCTACGGAGTCTGGAGGAGGTCAAAAAGGAAGCAGACTGCTCTAAAGCGCCTGCGTGATGCACTTCCGAAGCGCGGCTGGCGAGGAGAGAGAAGACTGTACCATTGTACCTCAGCAGACGGGGGAGGGAGGAATCGCGCCCTGTTGGGTGGGGCGTGCGGAGGAAATGAATGGGCCAGGCCATACTACTGAGCTTCTAAGCGGAGGGGTGGCGAGCGGAGAGCTCAGGGACGTGAGGCTGAGCAGGTGGCCTTTGCCGGGAGTCTGGCTGCTGCTGATGTCACTGACTCCCAAAGCTAAGCCTGACCCTGGAGCTCGCTGCCCGAGGGAGCCTGGGGTTGGGGGACGGTGGAGGGTCCATTAGGAGGCGGAACCTTGAAAGCTGAGTCCAGGCGGCTGCTTGTCGCGGAGCGGGCGCTTGGAGCAGCCCACGCCACTCACGACCCCGCGGTCCTGGGGTTGCCCCCGACGTGTCCCGGCCTGGGGCACATTCCACGAGCGGGTGGAGAGCTCCTATGGGCCTTCCCTGTGTCCTCCGCAGGGAAGGGGCTCGGCACATAGTAGGCGCTTCCTACATGCGTGACCCTTTGTGACCGTGGGCGAGTCTCCCGCTTCAGTTTCCTCATGTATAAAGTGAGGGGTGGGGCTGGAGGACGTTCTGGTCCACGGCCGCTGTGCGCAGGATCCTAAAGTAGAGAGCCTCTGACCTTCAGAGCTGCTTCACCAAGCAGGCGATAGTAAAAGATAAATGACATTGTTCATTTAACAAAAATCTATTTTCTCTCCTTTTCACCTTACCCCCCCCCCATAAAAATAAAAACAAAACTCTTGTAGCCAATTTGCATAATCAAATAAAACATTCCCCCAGCTGGCCAAAATGTGTGTCTGTTTTCTCCTGGCCGTGTCACCTGCACTCCCCAAACCTCCAAGGACATTGAATGGAGGCTCCCTGAGGGCAGGTACTTTCTCACTTTGGTATTTCTATCCCCAGTGCCTAGCAGGGTCTCATCACCAAAGTCCTTGGCATTGTCACATGGCTCAACCCCAGGAATAAACAGGACTTTATCAATGGAAGCGACACTGAAGAAGATGAATTCCCACCTGCAGCCCAAGGACCACTGGGCCTTTTCATGGGACTTCCAGCTGGAACTTCCTGTATGTGAGCTTCCTGAGAACAGGAACCATCTTCCTTTTGTTTGTGCCTTTCCTGGTTCTCCTCTCACATCTCTGAACACCCCTTCTCAGTCTCCTTTGCTGACTTCATCCAAGTCACACCTGCTAACCATGGGTGTCCCACAGGGCTCTGTCTTGGGCCCTCTTCTCTTCTCCCATCATGCTGTTTCACTTATTGATCTCACCAGCCCCCATGTTTCAATTATCGTCTCTATACTGATTATTCTCAAATCTACATATCCTACCCCTTCTCTGACTTTCAGTTTCCCATCTCTAACTGACTATTGGACCTCGAACTAGATGTCCTGTAGACATCTTAAACTCAACAGGCCCATCTTTCCCCCTAAACTCTCCTTTCCAAGCTACCATATTATTGTCAAGGGCACCCAATCCTCCTAGTCCCTCAGGCCCACAACCTAGGTCATTTTGGATTCAATTCCGCTCGTCCCCCCATATCCAGTCTGTTGCCAAGGCCTGTCCATTTTACCTTTGTATTATCTCTTGAACCCTCTCCTCCTCTCCTCTGACACAGTCCTTGGACACTCTGATGTCCCTGGGGTAGGCCCTCATCTCCTCATGCTTGGACTATTCTGATAGCTGCTGGTGGGTCTGCACATGTCTGTCCCACATTAGGCCATGCTCCATTCAGCCACAAAGTAAGGAATCTTCCCACAGTGCAGATCCAATCATTTCATCCCTCCACTCTACAAGCCTAAGTGTCTCTCTATCACCTCCCAAATCAATGATCAATTCTGTTGGTGTTCAAAGCCCTGTATAACCTGGTCCACTCCTACCTTTCCAGTCCTCTTACACCTTGAACCACTTTGTCCCACTGATGCTGGCCTTCAACAAGCCATGCCATCATCTCTTGGCTCTGGGCATTTTCATGGGAAGCCTTTCCCACCTCCCCCACCCACCCACCCAATACAGTACTTTCTCTCTCTTAATTATTTCCTATTTATCCTACAGTTAACTTATTTGTACATAGTTCTTTGCAAGTTATCTCCCCTATTGAACAGTGAACCCCCTGGGGGCAGGGTCTTTTGCCTTTCTTTTGTGAGAGATGAACTCTCAAAAGTGAAGCCTCCTCGGGGGTCAATGGTGCCTATTGAGTGGGATAAGGGGTCCTGTGAAGACTTCTTACAAGAATAAATAGAAATTGTATTAGACTCAAGGCAGGCATAGCAGCCTGACAGGCCTAAGTTTCGGTTTACTAGAAATCACCTGAGTTACGGGAGTCCAGTCCCAAGTACCCCCCCCCCCTTTTAGGCCATTGTTATATCAGTAAAGTTTGGCCAAGCCTAAACTCTTGAAGAAGTGCTCCCTGTATCTTGTACCTGTTGCTATATTTTGGTCATGGTGACCTGGCTATACAGTACAGTGTCTAGCTTGACTGCACATCTTTAATTGCTTCTTTGGTATTCAGCAAACTAAGGGGCTAAATACAGACATGTATATTGTTCTCTTTGTTTTGTTTTCTGTTTCCATAGATTGTGAGCCAAAACACTGGCCAGTTGATGGGAGGGGAGATTGGCCCATTAGGGCTATTTAATCTGGTTCTTAGCTCCTGTAACTCTGTTTCCCCTCATCAGAGCACCTGGTGGAGGGACACCCTATTCTCAACAATAGCAAATAAATTAACTTTCTGTTTCTCCTTAAAAAACCTCTAAGAGTGTTTTTTAATTTGAATGGCATCCCACACAATTTGGTGCGTTGGCCGGGAAATAAGCCTCTTAGGAGTCGACTCTCTCTAAGGGCTGAGAGCAGGCGCTCACCCACCATTTTTCTTGGTGGCTGTCAGACTTGGGGATCGATCTTCCTGGGCGGCAGACGTCCTGAAGAGAGGAACTCGGAGGAACAGAAACTACCCTGGGAAAAGGAAAAAAAAAAAAGGGAAAATCTCCAGTAGTGGTGGGAGTAAAACTCCAGCTGGTGGAGAGAGGGTTCACGTAAGTTATAGGCGTATAACCTGAGGACGTGCCAGAACTTGTGGGTCTTTGGGCTAGGACAGACTATCCCTGGAGAGATGCCGACAGGTGAGTGCTCAGGTGAATGAAGGAAGGGGGCGACCCCTCCGGGAGGGCCTAAAAGGTCCCGAAAAATTCGTAGGTCACTGACCTGGGAGGGTCTGGCACCACGGAGCAGAGAAAAAAAAAAAGGTATACCAAGAAAATAGTCCCTTAGGGAATAAGCTTTAGAATTGGAATGAACAACCAAAATATAAAGGGAAAGAAAAAGAAAATGATTAAATATGATTTGATGATTTGAGGATTCTACAGCAATTTGTTATATGCTTATTTTTTGTGTTTATGTCTGTGTATGTGGTATGATTGATTGTCCGAGTGTGTAATCTGATATCTTTTGCAGCTAGGTGGCAAGAATAAGCATTCTAAGGGCTGCAGATAGGTTTTCTTTCTCTCTCTCTTTTTCCTCCCTGGTAATAGCAGCCTCATAGGAATGGGTGGATGGGAGAAAGACAGAAAAATACTCTACAATCTGAATAGAGATTTTGAAAGTAAATAGGTTTGGAAACTCTTGAAGAGTTGTTAGAAAATATGCTCTTCCTAAGTTGGAATGCAGGAGAGAGAAAGGGAGAAAAATCAGATCAAAGGGAGGCAGGCTAAATAAGTTTTTAAGCATTCCCTGCCTTACCTAAAAGAGAAAAGTTTTTGTGTACCAGAACACGAACAAAAAGTAATTTATGGGCAGCCAGAGGCTGTGCTGAGGTCAGTGGCTTGTTGGGGATGACCGGGTTCGGTGGCTGCTGAGGAAATGAAATGTGATGTTCAGAACTTATTACACTATTTGGCATTAAGGTAAATTGGGAAAATGTAAGGATCTGAAATTTGATATTAAAGTAAATTGAAAGAAACTAAAGAACAGTGGGGAAAAAAACTGTGTAAGACAAGTGAATTGTTTAGAATGTATAGTAAAGTTGTAAAAGCAGTTTGGCAAGAGAGAGGGGGAGGGAGAGCCCTATTCAATTATCTCCCTTCAGAAATGCAAAAGAAAGGTATGTAGTGGTCAATTAATTAGTAAGCTCCAGAGGTGTCTACCTGGAGGGAAAGCAAAAAGTAGTTAGAATACTGGCCCAGCATATTTTAAATTGACCTGATTACAACAGGTGATTCCAAACTGTTTGTGAAACTTTTCCAAGAAAATGTGGACATGAATGGGGAACTGAAATATTGAAGAAACATATACATTTGTGGATAATATTGCTTTATTTTAAGAGCACATAGTTATTTGGCATTAAGGAATTTATTAACTATATGGCCCCAAGAAAGTTTTATTTAGTTTACTGTTCAGTAAGGGGATGGTGGTGGAATTCATTCCCAGGGATATTACGAAGATCACATGACTATAAAGGTGCTTGGCACAATGCTTAGCATAAAACAAATGCTATCTGAATGTAAACTGTTTTAAGTTAAATATAATTGCTTTATGTTCGTTAACTTTATATGGATTTTCTGATATGAAGTTTATGTCAATGGTGATGAGATGAATGATTCTCTGTGTAAGGCAATTTGGGTCTCTGTCTGATTAAAGTTACCAGAGTGGTAATTAATTGGTTTTGGTTTTAAAGTTTAAATAGATGATAGTTGTTTATGGTATTGTTGCATTTTAAAAATTTTCCTTTATTGCATAATTTAGTAAGCAACTGTATCATCTGTGTTGTTAGAAAAAGCAATTTATCTTGTAATCTAAATGTTTTTAGGTTCCTTTTTAAGGCTAACAACCTGGTTTGTTGGGGGATGGGCAGTATGAGCCAGGCTGTTAAGGCAGGGTCTAGTGGTCATGGGAAAATCTAGGCTTTGAAGTACCTTGATTGGGACTGACATTGAGGTGGAATGGGGGTATCAGACCAGTGAAAGACAATGATGGGCTAGCATAGATTAAAAAAAAAAAAGAAGTCAGTCTATAGGGGTGGGAGTGGCCCCAGGAGACTGTTGGACCTGGTGAAGGGGTCTAGAAAGATTTTTTTGGGGGGGTCTGTTTTCAATTGTATTGGTTATGTTGCTGGAAGGGCAATTTCTTTTATAATCTGGAATATTAAATTAATTGTGTCTTCAGAGAAAAGAGAAAAAGGAATGAATTTGGCTGTTAGGGCATTCTATATGGTCCTGTTTTGTAACATTTCAAGTATTATAATTTAAGAAAGCATAAAATTTCCAAATGTTGTCTTTATTTAAATGGAATTGTCAGTTAAAATAGTTTTGTTATCATTTATGATGTGGAAAGAAAGGGATTGTGGCACCAGTATCAGCCCTCTCTGGGGTACGTCAGTTCCCCTTACTTTGTAAACTTGCAGTTCCTAGACAATGAACTTGACTTACTGAGAAGTTGCAAGTTTATGTACAATAGATAGAAATGATTTCTAATGATTGGCTTTTACACCAAGACAAGTTTAAATTTGAGAAGGAAAGATGTAAAGTGAGATCTCTTATGTGAGTCCTGGTAAATTTTGTTGCTTATTGCAACTCCATGGCAGTAAAATTAACTATATCTGGCTTTAAGCTGTGATTAGTGAAACTTGCTGTTTGAGGTAAAAGGCTCTTGGGACTATAATTAATTTTGTTTTGAGTTAAATCAGTATCCGAGAGAAATGCCAGGGAATGTGATTCTGTACTGGTAGCAGGTGAAGGTCTACTTAGAGGAAATGTGATTTATTTGGGGGAAAAAAAAGGCCGAGGGGACAATCTTAGCTTCAATCTAGGATGGGATCCTCCTGGCTCAGTTTCCCCATTGTGTTCCTTTGGAAAGGAATGTTTCCCACCTGACTATTCCTGAGTTTGGCTACGATGTGGAACAGATACTGCATGATTGGAGAACTGTGACTCTAACTGAATTTAAACAAAGCTAAGGACATGTCCCTGCTCTTTTTCCTTCTACAGTAAGTTTCTATGATTAGAGCAAGTAGTTAGTAAAAGATATGAGTTCTTTTGTGTTATCTTACTGGGAAATCTAATGATATTTTTATTTAGAACTAGAACATGTGCAGAAATTTATGCAAACTGCTTGGAACTAACCTTAAGATGTTCCCTTTGTTTAAAATAATTCTAAGAGCAGCAGTATTTTTCCTGTAATCAGTCTCTTACTGTTACCAATATGAGATTTTATTACAACACCTTTTGACCAAGGAACTTTGTGATATTTAGGGATTCTGTGACAACTAGGAATTTAGTTTCTTGATAATACTCTGGAATTTGTGTTACTTAAGGACTTTTGCACCAACTTGGTAAGATTTTATGAATAAGAGGGGAAGTGCATGCAAGCTATTTAGGGCTCATTTTAGAGATGTTCCTTAAGCAATGCGAGATTATAGTCATATCTTACTGATTGTTGGAACTTGCTGGGACTAATGACTGACTGTTTCTGAGTTTAACTCCAGGTGTTAAATATCAAGGAAGGTTGTTTGAACCACTGATCCATGATGCCAGTAGCCCTGTGAGGGGCAAGTATGAACTGCAGGTATGATTTCAAGGGAAGATTGAGAGGGCAACTGTTCTACATGTGCTGAGGTGGGACCCTCTTGACTTGATTCCTTAACTGAAACCTGGCAGACTCTAAGTCTGGCTCAATGCAGTTTGCAGTTTGACACAACACTCTGCCTGGAACTGACAGGAAGTCGGGGGGGGAAATATTGTTCCCTTACTCTAATCTCTTAGTGGCAAGTTTCTATAATCAGAAGATTTAGTAAGTACAGTAACAAAATTACTAAAATAATTGATTATGGAACATCTTAAGTTACTATAGAACTGGGACTAGTGTTCATGTGTGTTCCCATATGAGTTAGGGTCTGTAGAAGGCCGGCTCTGGGGAGTTGTAGGGCTTAGGCCAGCCCGGGTCTTACCTGTAGATTGCACTAAGCCCGACAGCTGTGAAACTCAGGATGTTGGCTCACCCCCCCCCCCCCCCCCCCCCCGTCTCTTGAGAACAGGATGCAGGAAGGGAGGAAACAGAAAGGGTACAGGACAGGACGCAGGAAAGAAAGTAGCAGACAAGGCACAAGGAAGTAAGGAAATCACTTAATTAGGTTTGTGCTTTTCATGGAAAATAATGTCACTATTGCTTGATCCAGTACTATATAAGCCTGAGCCCTCAGATCAATAAACGGAGTTTGTTCTTCACTGCTCTCACCTGGCCCGTGATTCTTTCTCTCTTCACACTCTGCCAGCATCAGACCACGGCCATGGACGCAGGCGCTCACGGCAAGGGTCCCTTAATTCTTGGTAATGGTATGGAGACAATTAGGGGCTTGTGAGAATGTTATTTTGTTATCTGGATAATATCATACTTGTCTCAAGTTTTGTTACAATTAATAATGTTAAAAGAAGAAAGGCTTATGGTTTATTTTGTAAATGCCATCAAAGAAACATAGTATGACTGAAAGTTTAAGATCATATATGTACTGTGTTAAAATTGATTATTTAATATATCTATGAATGTACTGGAGCCTGTTATTAATCCCTTAGTGAAATTTCATCCCCCTGGTGAGGAAATTAATAATGGATAAATTTAAAGTAAGACACTGGGTTTCGGTGTGAATTTCTTAAACATGACAATTGGCCATAGTTCCAATTTTGAGTTTGTAAAAATGATCAGGGTTATAAGGATTAGAAATAGTAATTTAAGGGGCAGCTAGGTGGTGCAGTGGATAGAGCAATGGCCTTGGATTCAGGAGGACCTGAGTTCAAATCCAACCTCAGACACATAACACATATTAGCTGTGTGACCTTGGGCAAGTCACTTAACCCCATTGCCTACCCCCCCCAAAAAAAGATGTACTTTGGGGGCAGCTAGGTGGTGCAGTGGATAGAGCACCGGCCCTGAAGTCAGGAGGACCTGAGTTCAAATGTGGCCTCAGA